CCCCCCCCCCCCCCCTGGGTCTGCCGCACTCCGCCGCGGAAGGGGAGGGAGGCCGGGCGAGGAGCGAAAAGTCGCGATCACGCTCTCCCGCCCTAGCGCTGGGCGCCAAGGGTCGAGGAGAAGGGCCGTGGCGCGCGCAGGTAGGCCGCGTACTTGAGCATGTGCGCCAGGGCGGCGGCCGGGTTACCGCCAGGGCTGGTGGCCTCAAATGCGGGCAGGATGTCCCTGCAAGTGGCCGGCAGCCGGGCGGCCTCGGCCTCGGTGTCCGAGGCCGGACTCGCCAGGAGGGCCTCCGGGGTGGCGTCCGCCGGCAGAGTCTCCAAGTGCTCGAACCAGAAGAGCTCCTCCGGAAGCCGGGTCATTGAGGACAGGGGCGAGCTGGAAGTGGCAGCCGACAGGCGGAGCAGCGGCCGTGCGGCGTACTAGGGTGGGTACATGTGTGTGTGTGTGTGTGTGTGGTTGTGGTGAGCCAGGTTAGTCTTGGTGCGCCGAGCGGCCAAAGGGGACAAGAGGAAGGGGCAAGGTAGACGCACATGGGCCACCAGCGAGCGCAGGGCACTCTGGGCGGTCTGCCGCTCGGACTCCGTGGCGTTCGGGCAGGAGCATGCCTTGGACAGTTCCTTTTTTTTTCATTCCCCCCCGAGTGTGTGCGTTGGACTTCGGGTCAGATGTGCGCAAGAGGCTGGGCGAGAGAGAGGGGGCGGGGCGGGGGGGGGGAGGAGGGAGAAAAGGAGAAGGGAGACAGGGGGGGCCAGTGCGCACGGAGAACGTGAAAACGAAGAGCTCGCGATACTCGCGGCGCGCAGCTTGCAGCTTTTGTTGCATGGTCTCCTAAGCACAGGCGCCAAGCAAAAGGCGGCAGGGGGAGGAGAGCATTAGCCGAGCAGTTTTGGAGAGGCCGGGTCAGTATATGTCAGTGTACAGGGGCATCCGGACGCAAGGGGAGGGGGGGGGAGGAAGTTGGAGCAGGCGAAAAAAAGAAAGACAGAGAAGGCCCAACTGCAAGCCCGGAGCACGCACACAGCGGGCCTTCGCCTCGCGCAGGGTATGCTGGTCAGCATCCTCGTCTTCGGCGTCCTCGCGCGCCTCGCCCGCGGCATCCTCATCTGACAGGCCCTCCTCGTCGCTCATGAAGAGAGCCCGGTCCTCGGTGGCCTGGTCGTCCCCCTGATCCGGGCCGTCCTCGGCCGACATCTCGGAGAAGGGGCGCTTGCGCCGGTCGCCGTCGCCCTTGCCGGCGGTGGCCGACCGACGGGCCAGCAGTCGAGCGCGGCGCCGGGCAGCACGCTCCTCCCGGCGGGCGGCCACCTTGCTGGTGGCGGTGGCCAGCTCCTCCGCACACAGGGCATCCGACACGGAGGTCAGCTCCAGGCGCTCGGTCATCCGATCGAGCGAGGCATGCAGGATGCACATGGCAGATTGGCTGCGGGTGTGGGAGGCCGAGGGAAGAGGGCGAGGGTGCACGGGGGGGGGGGAGGGGAGGCAAGGGCGGGCCCGTTAGTGGGTTACATCCGGGAGGGCAGATGCGACAGAGGGCGGCAGACAGGCAGAGGAAGATGGAGAGACAAAGAGAGGGAAAGAGGGAAGAAGGGGGGGAAAAAGAAGAAGAAGAAGAAGAAGAAGAGAGGAGAGCCACAAACGCAGGAACACCTGCGCATGGGCAGACGCACAGGCCCACGCGATAGACCAGGGCAAACCAGCCACGCTGGCGGCCCTCCGACCCGGCAGTCAGGCCATCCTCAGGGGCGGCCCCCGGACCGGAGGCGGCATACGGCGCGATGACCGGCATGTCGGTCGGCCGGGCCTCCACCAGGCAAAAGCGCACCGCCTGCATCGGCGTCAGCAGACACAAGTCCAGCCAGTAGCCGACGGCCATCTCGGCGATCATGCCACGCGAAGAGGCCCGGCCCACGCCGTCAGACTCCGGGAAGGCCTGGCGGGCCTGCTCGGCCGGCAGCGGCTCCAGCCGATCGGCAAAGGGCAACGCCGTGGCCGGGTACACATGTCGCAGCAGCAGGTCCAGGATGATCAGCGCCCCGGCCGGCTCGGCATTGATCAGATCCAGGAAGATGTCGTAATAGTGCCGGACCGTGGTCTGGAAGGAGGTCAGCGGGGGGAGGGTGCTCTCGAAGCTGTTGGTCGAGGGGTCGCTCTCCGGGTCGCGCTCGAACGGGCCGAAGGACAGCTGCAGCAGGGCCCCGCAAAAGAGCACCAAGCTCGGGATGACCGGCTGGCCGGCAGCCAGGAAGCCGGACTCCGCCTGCTTGGACTCGGCATGCTGCAGAATGCAGTCGACCATGTTCATGGACCGGCGCTGGCGCAGGGCCAGGATGATGTCCGAGTAGAACTGCTTCATGAGGTCTGCCGGCGAGTGGCGGCCAGCAGGTCAGGTGGGCCGGTTGTGATGGGTTAGGGCATGAGGGAGAGCGCTGGCAAGGGAGGACACGGGGAGATGCGGCAAGGGGAGGGGGGGGGGGGGCGGGGCGAGGAGCGAAAAGTCCTGCCTTTTTGGGGGCCCCCCCCGGCCGGGGCCCCCCCCCCCCCCCCCCCCCTGGGTCTGCCGCA